CTATTTTTAGAGAGAAGTACGACAGGTTTTATACTACACAGGACGCTACGACTATTCGAGAGTGGCACACTGGTACAAGGGGCTTTGCATTGTTCCTCAAGAAGCTGCCTCACCGAGTGGCACGCATCAAGTCCATCGGTAGAGTGACATCATGCCGAACACGGAGATGAAGGGCAACATATGGCCACTTCGGACCGGTATCCGTCGTTGAAGGCATGCCGCGAGGTTCGATACCTAATCGGGAAAGACCGGCTACTTCGGTGTGGCTTGGAGCGAAGCGCGCGCTTGGCCGAGCGGCGTTAAGTGGCCCTATTGTTCGCCGAATGCGGAAGATGTCCCGGGATCTACGCGCGAGGCATCGGGACGACCGTGCCGAGCTTCGAGTAAGCGTCGCGCACCGTCGAAGGTGTCGAAGAGCGTCGAAGGCGAAATCGAAGTGTTGGGAGACTGAGTCGAAGTGCCGGGCGGGATGTGAGTGCCGAAAAGAGGTGTATCGGGGCCCAGCGGGGCTCGGCGCCTATCACCGACTACACCTCAAGCACCCCGATCACTACGCCGACGACCCATACACCATGGCAGAGATTCACGCGGCGGCTACTTTCATTCTACACGGTACATCGAGCACACCTACGACCGCGGCGAACCAAGCTATCGCTTCGACATCGAACACTTCGACAACGGTGCCCCCCGGGATGATCAAGACCAAAGACATCTCGATGATCATCGAAAGCCTGTCGAGGACGATCGCGACACTTATTCAGCCGACAACACACGCGACGCACAACCACGCCCCCGCACCGAGACAACAAGCTGCCGTCCACATCCACGAGAACACCGGAGCTGAACAGACGTGCCACTACTGCGGCAATCGTGGCTGCAGGGTAGGCACCTGCGAGTTCGCGGAAATCGACATTCGGGACGGCAAGTGCAAACGGAACACCGAAGGCAAGATCGTTCTTCCAAACAGAAGTTTCTGTCCCCGCACTATCCCTGGTCTCACAATACGAGATCGAATCTACGAGTGGCATAGAAGAAATCCCGCAGCACCCGCCACTCCGACGATGCTCTTCGAGATCGACGATCGCTCGACTGTGCAAACATTCACGCTCAACACTAGCGGCAGGATCGAGGCGCTCGAGCGAGAACTCCTTCAGCTTCGGAAGCGAAGGGAGGTCTTCGACGGCGTCGAGATTCTACAGCGGAAGAAGCCTACGACGACAGCCATCCCGAGGAGCGCGGAAGCCTCTGGATCTGGTACATCGAAAGGAGTGGCGGCACCCCCGAGCACTTCGACAAGCACGGCCCCGCCTACGACGATACCAGCAGCAGCACCCGCGCCGTCTTCCTCCTCGCCTACGCAATCCACGTCTCATCCTATTACTACATCCGCTCCCCCAGCACCACCAGTACACCCCTTCGCAAACGCTCGCGACGCAACATACGCCCCACCGAACGTTCGAAACTTCGCAACTCCGCCGAAACCCTCGAACGACAAGGGCAAGGAACCAGCGTACAAGACCATTGTCCCCGTTATCCAGCCGAAGCTCGCCGAAGAAATCTTCCAGCATTCGATGAAGTCGCAGTTCGTCACGCTGACCCCAGAAGAGTTGCTGTCGATCGCGCCCGACGTTCGAACCAAGTACCGCGACGCCGTCACCCCCAAGCGAGTCTCGACGGAACCCGTCGCGTCGGCCCCCGTCGTAGAAATCGGCGCCGACGAGGTCACGGCCGTCAACCAGCTCTCGTGTTCAGGTGCAACATTGGAACCTGGTGCTACAATCGTCCCCGACCCCTACGAAACATACCTCAAGCACATCCCTCACGGCGAGCACCCCGCAGAATTCACCGTCGCACGCGATTCGAACGCGATTCGCTCAATCATCGCTTTGATTGACAACAAAGAGCAGATCGAATGCATCGTCGACCCAGGTTCGCAAATCGTCGCCATGTCAGAAGAGGTCTGTCTCGGCCTCAACCTCCTCTTCGATCCTACAATCCAGCTGAACATGCAATCGGCGAACGGCGAGGTGGACCGATCGTTAGGACTCATTCGAAATGTTCCCTTCCGCATCGGTGAGATCGTATTGTATCTCCAGGCTCACGTCATTCGAAACGCAGCGTACGACATCCTCCTCGGCCGACCCTTCGACATGCTCACGCAGAGCGTCGTCAAGAACTTCGCCGACGAGAACCAGACCATTACGATCCTCTGCCCGAACACCGGCGAAACCGTCACGATTCCGACGTACGCGCGAGGAAGATCGCGAAGCCGGCAGCACTCTCTCGGGTGTCGCCAATCGCATTTTCTAGCTTCGAGGAATTGATTCCCCATGATCAAGGAGAAGCCGCGCTAGTCATCGACTACGATGGGGTAAAACCGAGTATTTCCTTCGTCTCTCCTATTGATTCCTCGACTCTGAACACTGTTTCGTCGCTGTATCTCTCCGCATGCACCTCCGTCTCATCATATTTGCAGTCTCTTTACGCTTCGGACACTACAGCTGCTAATGCCGCTCCGTCAAACGCTTCGACGTGGGCTTCAACTCTTCTATTTTCAGCTCCGTTCGCTTCGACTCCGCCAGCTCCCGTTCCGACGAAGTCCATCTCACAGTTTTCCAACTCGATTCTCCCCTTTCCTTCGACGACATCGACTTCTACCCCTTCAACGCACAAGATCCTCGCCGCAACAAAGAAGAAATACAAGCCTGTCGCTCTCAAAACCCGACCCGTCCTTGGTGCCGTCCCCGAACAATTTCGGATACTTCGAAACATCAAGGGCGACCCTCTATCCATCATGCCTAAGCTTTCGACCGACCCCCCGCCGTTCAAACCTACCGGTCGGTACACCCTCGAAC